CTGGCTCTCCTGCCTGCCCTACCCCTTGCTTATTTGTGAGGTTCAACCCCCACCCGTGGAGCCACTCTGAGCTGGGCCAGGGCATCCCGGGAAGGAGCGGCCCTGCTTCCTGCCTTAAGACAAGCCCGGGGAGAAGGGATGACTTTGATCTACCTCAAGGTGAATGGTCCCAGGAGACCCAAAAGCAGCGCAGTGAGAGACCAGGTGAGTGAGAGGGAAAAGCCAGCACACTTCCCAGCCTGTCACCCTGGCCTCTCCCCACTCACCCACCCAGGCAGCTCCAAACACCCTCAAGCCCCGCCTTCCCCCCCCATGCCCAGCTCCCCCTCCTCCTCCCGCTCCTCTGTCTACCTCTCCCCCGGGCTCTGGGCTCCAGCCACAGCAGCGCCCTGCCCCCGCCCAGTCTCCACGTAGTCAGGGAGGTCTTTCTAAAAAGTACATCTGAGCCTGGCACACCTCAGTTGAAACTTTCTATGGCTCCCATGACCCTTGGGTCAGAGACCCAGTTCCTGCGTGGAGACCCAACCACTGGCTCGGTGGCCTCAGATGCCCTGCGCCCTCTCCCGGCCTCTGTCCCCTGCTGTCCACTTTGCCGGGATCCAGTTGGTTTCCCAGGTTCTTGCCAGACGACAGGGACAGTATCTGATAGCTGCTATCTGCACCCCAGGCCCTCCTGAGAGAAGGGGCTGGCCTGGGTGCTTGCTGGGCCTCAGTGGATGAAGGCTGCCCCGGCAGAGCTGTTCCTTGGCCACCGGCCAGGGCTCACAGTACTGGGTGACAACGCATTACACACACACAGGAGTTCACTCCTTTGCCCACAGTGTTCCCTGAGGTGGAAAAACCACTGCCTCCTCCTCCTCCCAGAACTTTTCCTGCTTCGGTAACAAAGGTCTTTTGACTCCTGGTCCCTCTGGCTGGTCTCCCATTCAACTTGCAGCCGTCCAGGAGAATCCATTCACCAGCTACAAATAACCAGGCAGCACAGGGAGATCAAAAAGCCCTAAACAGTGACTGTGGCCCCTGGGTGCCTGTGCTGCAGGGACATGTGCTCAAGAAGCTCCAAGGCTGGTGGGAGGGGCACACCTGACACCACAGACGAGCTCAGGAGTGGATGCCCGGGTCCTGATTTAACCTCTGATCATGCGGCGTTGGGAAGGTCCTCCCTCTTGGGCCCCTCAGTCCCTCCTCTGTAAAGTAGAATGCTGACATCCACCCTGGAGGGCTGTTCTGAGGATGAAATCCAGTAAGATCCTGTGCTGGAGACACGAGAAGTACCTGAGAGTACCTGCATGTGGTTCAGACAGGACACTTTCTGGACCAAAGAGAAGGAACAGAGATGGGAGGGGCCAGGAACAAAAGACAAAAGACTGTGGGGAAACAGAGCGGTTGCCCAAGACGTGCCCCTGAGAAACAGGACTCCTCAGCTTGAAGGAACGTGAACTCTTGTGAGCCCAGGCCACCTCCCGGCCCAGCTCGGCCAGAATCTCTGGTGTGGGACCCTAGCATCGCAACTGTGGTGACAGCCAGGCAGAGGGCCACAGCCCAAGGGTCTCGGGCATGCTTGTGCTCTGAAAGCCCTGTAGTGAGCAAACCAGAGGAACCCTGTGTTCCCCACACTGGCTTGGCAGCAGAAACTCATTAAAATCTTCCTGAAGAGTGTCAGGGAGGACAGAGAAAGATAGGAGAGCGTTTATGGCACAGGCTTTGGAAGTGGGAGGCCCAGTAACATTCCTGACTCCGCCACTTGACCACAAGGACTCCATCCATCAAAGCCTCTGTCTGCTCATCTACAAAGTGGGGAGGATCAAATGAGACTAGGAGCATGAGGCCCATGAGACAACATGGTAGGTGCTATTATTGGTCACAATATTAAATGAATTTCGGTTCCCACCTCCATCCTCCACAGCCCAGGGGCTGCACTCACTCCTTCAGCAAATCCGCATACCATTCTGTGGTGATACCCAGAACTGGTCCCCACCCACACAGCACACAGCCCAGCAGAGGAGCTGGATATGAATCAAAGGATCACACCGATACAGAATTCAGATAGATATTTATCATGATGTGGGGGAGGGGGGCTGTGGGAATGGAACAAGGATACCTCACTTCCACTGGGGATTCAGGGAGGGCTTCCCTGAGGAAGGGGCATTTGAGCCCAGATCTGAAAGATTCATAGGTGTCAGGGCAGAGAAGATGTGACAGATGAAATGAGCATGGAGATAAGGGGGAGGCTGGTACGGGGCAGAGAGGAGAAAGCCTGGACTAAGGCAGGGAGGGTCCAGAAGGGAAACAAATTTATACCCCCAGACAGGCAGGGCCTGGTTGATGGCTGGAGGCAAGGGAGTAAAGGCAGATGTTGGGGACTCCTGGGTTTCTGGCTTGCAAGCTAGGAAGGATGGGGTGCTGAGATACTGCAACCCCCTCCCCAATGCACAGTCCCCGCCTCGTTTTCTCTTTCTCACAGCATTAACGATATATAATCATTTATTTGTCTCCCCCACTACCATATAAACTCCTGGGGGCCAAGGGTTTTGCATGGTGGGCTGAGTCTTCCCCAGGCCCTACAGCAGAGCCTGGCACTTGACAGATTTTATTTACAGTTTAAGTGAATGAGCTCAAGAAAACTATGTTGAGATGATAAAAACACTTGTGAGGGCTCCTAAATTGGAAAGAACACCTAGGCCAATAAAAAACAAGTCTTGTAAGTAGATGATGATGAGGAGGATCATAAAAAGAATATTAATGAAAAAAGGAAGCACAGCCCCCGTTTATTAAGCATCTACTATCTCCCCCACCCGTTTCTTGGTAACAGATTTTATAACATGTTTTGAGGGCTGACTATGTGCTAGACTTCCCACTAAGTGTTACAAACTTTGAGCATTTATTTTTCGTAAGTCCAACTTCCAAAATGCCAAGCACGCTCCTTTTGCAGGGCTTCCACCCTATTCCCTCTCCCTGGAATGCTCTTTCCCTCACTTGCTCCCCAGGCTTGCTCCCTCCTTTCTCTTCTCAGAAAGTCCTTCCTCCACCATCCATCACTCCATTCCTTTTCTTTCCCCAACTCTCCTGAAGCTTTTTTTTTTTAAATAGAACTTCTCACTAACTGATGGCATATTCTATTTTTTATTGTTTGACTCCCCTACTGAAATGTAAGCTTCGCAAGGACAGGAAAACAGTGCCCGGAAGACAACAAGCGCTCAGGAAGTTTGTTGACTGAATAAATGTCTCACTTTGAGTCTCAGGTGTTTACAAGGGAGGAAACTGAGTCACAGAGATCGAATCATCTGCTCTCACACCTAATGTGAGTGGTGCAGGCGGGATCAACCCTGGCAGTAAGTTCTCAATATATATCTTATAACAGTAATTATCGTAACTACGATCCGCTTAGTCTGTGCCAGACTTTGGACTAAGAGCTTTACCCGAACTGGCTCAGTTCCAGTTCCCGCGAGGACCTCAGGTCCCGCGAGGACCGCCCGGCTGCGACCTCCGCTTTCCATAGTTGGAAGCCAGCGCCCGAGGTCGCCGAGCGAGGCAAGGGCGGGGCAGGGGTTCGACTGGGAACTCTTCCGCGCTCCCCGGGACCTCGACCCAGCCTTCCCGCAACGGCCAGTGCCTCCTCCCCTCTGGGGCCCGGCGCTCACCCCGGGACTGGGGTCGGAGTCGTGCGCCCACAGCTCCGCCACCATCTCTGTGTGCAGAAACTCGAACAGTGCCGCGTCCGCCATGCGCCAGCCTCACACGCCCACAGACAGCCCAGCGCTTCGTGCTGTCATTGGCCCGGCTGGACAAGCCCCGCCTCTTCCACCTAAGTTCGAGCCTGCCTACTCTCGATTCCATTGGTGTTTCAGGCTAGCCCCGCCTTCCTTTTCTGGACTCTCGTGGTGCGCGCGTGAACCTGGGAGACTAGAGGGAAAAGCTGCTTTTCCTACATTGGCCGCGAGTGACAGGTAGCTCCGCCCTTCCCTGTCTCGTCCCTGTTTCCGGGTCCTCGAGCATTTCCATTGGCCGAGTCACTGGTTACACGTGACATCTCGTCTTTTAGAATCCCTATTTGTCCACTCCTCTCACAGCACAACGCGGAAGCGGCAGCCCAACCGCTTTCCTATTGGCCGTACCTATATCCACGTGACTCCACACGCGCCCTCCAAGCTGGTCCTGAGGGCTTGCTTCAGAGTTGGTAGCCGCACGGCCCACGTGATTGGCCGCCGACACCCGCCCAATCTGCTCTCTCATTGGTTGGGGCTTGTCGCCCTCCTCCCTCGGTAAAGACGCAGCACTTCGGCTGGGTAGCGGATCTCGCAGGCTCGGAGCTTCGGTGACCCGGTACCGTCTTCAGTGGTAGAGCTCCCCGTCCCGCCCCGACTAGCTCATTCTTCCTAGAGTCATCTGGACTGTCACCCTTTCTATGACTCAGGCACTGGTCCCTGAACGGCTCCTGAGAGCCCGTGTGCTTCCCAATCTGACATAGGCTTGGAGGCCAGTGTGGAGGGTGTGGCCTCTGCTCGGAGGCAAAATCGGACAGAGCTTTATTTGGGACTCTGGGAGCTCGTGCTTCAGAGCCTTGATCAAGCTGGTGGTCTTCAGTTTCCCCATTAGTACACTGAAGAGGTTGCAGTCCAGTAGCCCCCATCATCAGGGATAATCTCTGTTTGCAGAAAAGGAAACAAGCCCAGGCAGGGGAAGTGGATGGCCCCAAGCCGCTAAGATAGTGGTGGGGCTGAGAATTCAGAACTTGCGCCTTTTAACCACCATAGGGCGCCCGCGCCTCATACCGTCCCTACGCGCGCCTTCTCCCTAGCTCGGTGCCATGGCGTCCCAGAGTCGTCAGCGGAGGCCGCTGCGGAGGCCTGAGACGGTGGTGCCGGGGGAGGCGGCCGAGACGGACTCGGAGTTCTCTGCATCCTCGTCGGAGGAGGAGGAGCTGTACCTGGGCCCCACTGGCCCG